AATAAAAAGAAATAAAATCAATCTATGTATAAACCAGTGTATTGTAGATCATTCTAAACCTAGAGACTGTCCACTAAGCCACAGTTTCTCTTCAAAGTCTCAAACACTGCAGTCTTTAATTGCATAATTTTTATGATATTTCAATATTTAAAAAACAAACTCAATTTTGTATGCCATAATTAATGATCTAATAAAAATTAATTGTAAATCGAAATTTGGAAGGTGTTTTATTCTAGACTTCTGACGTCTTCCAATATCTTATAAATATATCAAATATCTCCAAATGCTTAAATTTCGAAATTCTTGAATTTTCAAAATGCTAAATAACCAAATTTCCATGTAATCAAACTTAAAAATTCCTAAATCACCAAACTTTTGTATCTCGAAAACCACAAATTTAAAAATTTTGAATTTGTAAATACACAAGTTTCTAACTTTCAGATTTTCGAGTTTCAAAGTTATGAAATCCTCCAAATTCTTGCATTGCTAATTTTTCAAAGCTTCCAACTTCCAAATCATCAAATTATCAAATTTCCAAATTACTAAATTACCAGATTGCCAAATTACCAAATTACCAAATTACCAAATTACCAAATTATCAAACTTCCAAATTACCAAATTACTAAATTACTAAATTACTAAATTACTAAATTACTAACTTACCAAATTTTTAATTACTAAATTACTAAATTACCAAATTATTAAGCTACCAAATTACCAAATCACCATATTACCAAATTACCAAATCCCCAAATCCCCAAATCCCCAAAACCCCAAGTCCTCAAGTCCCCAAGTCCTCAAGTTCCCAAATGCTCAAGTCCCCAAATCCCCAAATTACCAAATTACCAATTTCAATTTTCCAGTAACCAAAATCTTCATGTTTTCCAATTCAAAACATTCCAATCTCCAAATCCCGAATTGCCAGAACGCACGAATTGTACATGCACCAGATAAGGCAAATTTCACAATTTCTTACTTGAAGAAACCTTTCCCCATCAGTTATAATACTCCTACTATTCTAATCCTTATCTTCAACCAATTCAAATAAGTATTTCTTTCACAAACAATTTGCTGGCAACCTTATTACTTTCAGACGAACGCATATTAATGGATGCATGAGTAATTTGTTTGCTGAAAAGCTTAAGGATCTCGGCTTAGATTTATAATCTTCAAAGGCTGTTGAAGATCGCTGAAGCTACAGTAGCTGTTATCGCATAGGTACATTCAAATAAAGCACTTCTTGCAAACACTGTAAAGGTCTCTTGTCAGCCATCGCTGCGATAATCTCCTTAAAGGATTTATGCCGGTTTGACGAGCCTCGATTGTTATTCAACCAAAATTCACACATTCTCGAGAATAAATGAAGCTTGATGTCCCTTCGAACTCTGTTACAGTTGGTCAATGAATAAAAGATCAGAGGGTGAAAAAGAGAGTGAATCTATATGTGGCTAATTGAGTAATAGGTCAAGGTTCAACAATTTTCTATCGTCGTAGCTGATTTTTGCCCTGATCGAAGTCTGGTTATAAAATTACTCCGATAACTCATTCTTTACTTATTGGTTTTGACGATAAATGTTTCGATAGAATTTTGTTATTTTTTTATGGAAATATTCATTTGCAGATCTTAAATTTGTAATCGCATTCTTATATTATATAATTATTTTTGAATGTGTAAGAAATCTTATTATTCATCAAGACCTTCATTTAACCATCATTGACCGTTTATGTATCTTCTCTAGAATATGGATCATTCATAGGAATATTTTCAACAGGAAATTTTGTAAACTGAAATTTAAACTTGCAATCATTTAATAATAATTAATAATTTTAACCTTATTGTACATTATATACATATGTCTCTTATAAATTTTAACAATGTTCCTTGATAAAAATGATGTAATATAATATTGAACAATTTGGTCTTTGTATTTTTTAAAACCGATTATAATAAATGAATGACTCCATTATATTTGACGCTAGCTTTTTAATATATCTTTTTATTTACTTTACGGCCATATGTGCATTTGTTAAAGTAAAAATAAATCTTAAAGCATCAATTGAATAAATGTCATCTATTCATAAAAACAATATAACTTTTTGGCTAACCTAATATTTTATAATCAAGGAAAGTAGCCAAACATGGAATGCTATTTTGTTTTTCGAATGTCGTTCATACGAAAAATAAATTTAATTTAATTTGGTAAAAGATGAATTATTCGCAACAAATATAAAATTTTTATTAGCACACAGTAACGCGTTAAAACAGCATTAAGTGAACATGGAACAGATATCATATGTAATTCTAATTTTGCACACATTTTTACGAGAAATACAAGAAGTTATTTTATTCTTCTTATTGATTTAGGCTCTCATTTTCCTCATTGTTTATAGCGTTCATTGATATAATCATATTTTTTAAGAAATTAAATGAAGAAATAGTTATTTGTAGTAATCAAATTAAACATTTGATCCGCAACTCGGCCAAAACATTTCGAATAAAGGGAAAAAAAGATAATAAATATAAATAATCAGTAATTAAATGTTTAGTTACTTAAATAATATTGAAATATGACAAAATAGGACTACTACCGAGTGTTTATGTTTAAAATTTTATAAAGTTAGAAGTATGTATTCAACTCACAAATACTTCTGAATATTGCAAGTAGATAGATAATAGTAAAAAAAGCATGATAAAAGAATGAAAAGAAGGAAGAACGCATGACATTTACGTACCGTTAAAAAATTATCGAAGAGCTGCAAAAAAGCTCTTCGTATTTTCCCTATACAACAGCCTATAACCGTTTAACAGATGTTCATCTCTTAACGTTTAAAAAATGGTACTATTTCATATCTTACCAATTTTCTTTGGTAACAAAAATGATTAAAAAGTTACACATTTAATTGCGCGAAAAAAATATGTAACTTTCCATTTGGTGCAAGAAGAAGCAAGCTCAGAGCGTTAATTACCAAATTATAATTATAACGCGATAAACTCTTTCTATATTGCCATTTTTAAACGCACATTAATGGCACTTCTTGACCTGTATAAAGATGTATGAGGATTGTAACGACACCAAAAGAAAATGTATTTTAGTCGATCCATAAATATGGTAAAATTAGGTTAGATTAGATTAGGTTACGTTTAATCTACTCATATTAGGTTGGATTAAAGTCTATTCATAGTAAGTTAGATCTATTCCTATTAAGTTAGGTTAAATTAGATCTGTTTATATTATGTTAGATTAGATTCATATTATGTTAAATTAAATTAGATCAGTTTATATTAAGTTAGATTAAATGAGATCTGTTCGTATAATGTTCAGTTAGATTGTATCTACTAATATTTTGTTAATATTAGGTCCGTTTATATTAGACTAAATTACATTTACACTATTCAGATTCAGTTGGATTAAATTAAACAAATTCGTATTAGAATAGATTAGATTAGTACGATTCATTGTGTGTAATGTTCGGTTAGAATTATTCACATTAGGTTAGGTTTGGTTACTACTTATATTAGAAGATGATCGTGCTTATTGTTAGTACAACTTAATATAATATCCATAGAAATCAAAATATACTTTCTGAAGTGAAAAAATATAATTTCCTTTCATACATGACTCTCAAAAGTAATTTGTGTGTTTTTTTTTTTATAAAACTATATTTCATTGAAAATATAGTAAAGTTACTTTTATTATTAGCGAAATTAGTGAGATGTAATATATACCACTTTACCAGTTATTCATCATTTGTATTTGTACACCGTATAGATTATTCGTGAATTTGTTACAAAATTTGTTTGTAATATTGTAGAAAGAAATCACTGACAAACTTTCATAACATTTTGTACCTCGTTATCAAATTTTAAAGAATAAAAAACTTGCTTAAAGCTTTAATAGTTTTCACTTTAAAATGTGATGTATGTATGTATAAGACTCCGATGGCGCCAAATTTAAATTTTACATTAAAAGTTAATAGTTTATAATCTTTTCCTATCTTTAGCGAACAGAAAAAGTTGAACGAATATTGTTACGTATTTCTTATTTATTTCTGTACAGCTATTGTATGTAACTATTCATATACTATTACATTAAATATTGCTAAATGTATATATGCGTAAATATAGTTAAAAAGGTTTCTCTCACAAAAGTTGCAATCTCCACTTATTTACCATTTTCCTTATTTAATACTCAATATAAATTATATTCACAATCATATAGATTTCATAAGGTTTATCTTCTATTATTAACATATAAAAAGTCCATTTCTAATCTTCAAAGTGGTGTTTTATTTTTCGTAGCATGATAACCTAACACGAATCACACTTCTCATAAAAAAATAAGAGAGTTTAAGAAAAGAATAATGTAAAATTAAATTTAATTTTCTCAAAATTCAATAGAAATATTCAATTACTTGAACAGTTAAAGAAAACGTGAATTTTATTTCAACTTTTAAAGTACGAGACAGCTGAAATTTGTTTTCCTAAATACAAATGTTATGAATTTTAATATACAGTTTGTATAATATTAAAATATCAAAAAATACACATTAAGAACCATTTTAAGGAATCTACAGATGAGACCGCACTATCATTTACATTTTAGAGGTAGGATCCGTACTTTAAAAGTTAGTATATTATTAACCAGTTAAGTGTGTTTGACGACTATATCCGTCATGGAAATGTGGCAGAATTTTGTGTCATAACAACTATATCCATCATGCGTGAAATTTTGTTACAATTTGATACTTAAATCGTAATTTTCGCGAAAACTAAATTATATTCATATTACATTGTAATGTGTTTAAAATGTTTAAAGATCAACACGAAATGAAATAAACAAATAAAAAGTGTAAATGATTTGAGATAGATTCATAAATTCTTAAGAGCTAACTCGTCATCGCTTGATTATCGCGACACACACTGATGCGCGCTTTGCAAAAAGATCACCACAGTTAACTGGTTAAATAACATGATAATTAGTAAATGAACATTGTCTTACCTGTATTTGGCAGGATCTGCATCTGATTCTGTTTCGAAAAGCCTTGAAGATTATCTGGAATCGCGGAACTAGTCTCAGACGCCATGAAACCTCACTTCCGAGAAATACTCGATTTCCGGCAAACGAACAAACGAAAAAAAAACTTGTCCGACCCGCCAGTGCACGTTCAACGTTGCTTCTTTAACGTACCGCACTAGTGGAATTTCTGAGGATGCCTATCGACCGCCTCGTCGTGGCACAATCGAATCAATCGGCCAATAGAAGTATTAGGGAATAGTCACGTGCGAGATTCCAATAATATATTAAGAGTAAATCGTTAATAGTACCGTATCCGAAACAGTAACAAAACTTACCGCGGTTCTTGATTAATCGAAGACCACATATTACCCCATTCTCGAAAACTACGTTATCGATTGATCGCACATGGTCAACGACAACATCTGCGATTATTGATCGATTTTCCACCATACGCGCCGAACAATAACCCACCAAGGTACGTGAAATAATGCTACTGCCACAAAATATATTTCAAGCAAATTAAACAATGCTTGTTCGAGACTAAAATACAAAGTGATGATACAGCTAACCAAAATTTTGAGATTTTATATTATTTATATAAAATTTTCAGAAGACCGAATTAAGTTTTCAAATTTGCAAATCTTCAAATTCCCGAACACATAAATTAAAAATTTTCCAAGTATACAATTTCCCCACTTCCAAATATTCAAATTCGAAAATTTCCTAATACCTAAATGTCAATATTTTCAAACCCCTAAGTACTTAAATTCTAAAATGCACAAACTTCCAAATTCATAAATTGTGCTCTAATATTCAAATTCTAAATTTCAAATTTTCAAACTCCTAAATTTTGAAATTTTAAAACTTCGCACTTTCCAAATTCCTAAATTTTGAAATCTTCAAACTCAAATTTCAATTTTTCATTTTATTAAATTATCAAATTCAAAAATTCCCAAATTTCACAATTTCTAAATTTCTATATCCTTACATTCTAAAATCCCAACTCTTCAATATTCAGATCTATCCAAACATTTTAACAATTTCAATATAATATGGTGGCCAGTACATAATTTTAATAGGAATTTTGTAACTCAAGTCTCTTGTAGGTTAAACCCACCAGTGCAAATAACAAAATTTGACAGAACTACAAAAAACACTGAAATAATTGTGCAGAATTATAGCACACATATTGACAAAATAAAATCAAAATTTAAACTATTGTAACATGTACTTAATTGTTTTAACTACACAAATAGCTAATTTAATGTTGCTTGATGAAAAAGTACTAGATTCGTAAAGTAAAGTCTAATTTTGCGATAAAATAACTTTAAAAACAAATACTTTAGAATTCTAACAAAGAAATTAAATAAAAAATATTAACAAAAACAGGAAAATACGGTTAACACATTCACTGCGAATTCGAATCGATCAGTGATGGGTAACTGTACCCGCGAGTAATGCTCGATATTCAGAGCACGGATGGGACTATAGGACTTAAAATTTCATACAACTGGCAATATAGAAAGAGATCCACCATTTACAAATTTGAAGATTTTAAATTCGAAAATTTGAAAATTCAGAAATTTGCTAATTTGAACATTTTTAAATTTGCAAGCTTCTAAATTGCAAAATTCGAGAAATCGAACATGTATAAATTTGTAAATTTGCAATCGCGAATCTCTGTTCACTTAATATCGGAAAAGCGGTACTAATGTACGCAAAAGTCCATGTGAGAGAGAATTCACTCAACTAGTAATATAGATCTAGTGGCAATTTGTAATATGTATTTTGTAAACACTGTTCTCGTTCGATTGTTACGAATGGGAAAATGAATTCGATGTCGTTGTTGTGCACACTCGAGCCCATGAATCACGAGCTCTGCGGCGAACACTTGTATTGCCCATCACTGACCTTGATGAACATCACGAATTTGCGTCAATTATCACTAATTATTATATATCTTTAATAATATCTTGTTTATTTCATTCACGCGGGAGACATCCTTATCCTTAATGCACAACAAACGTCATAGTGTGTTCATTTTTTTTATTCACTGCATGCCGTTAATTTTGAAAGTTGGAGGTTATTAAATGACAAAGATTATACAGGTTCTTATAACGCGAAAGTTTATGCACATACGATTTAGAACTTTTTGTAAACAAAAGACAAAACTGTTGACAGGATTTACTGAACTTTATTAACTTGTAACAATGAAACGGAAGTTATAGAACTTTGTGGCCAAAAATTCTGACGATCGCACACGCTCAACAACCGTTCCGGGTAGACTGACAAGTTCAGTCAAAAGTCTAAAAGTTTATTTTTGGTCAGATTGTCGTGCCAAAGAAGGACAACGTGGCCAATGTCGCATATGTACGTAGTCGCGTCAAAACAACTGGCCTGATGATGTAAAATGGCCTGCATGCAGACCTCGCTATTCTAAGGTGACTAAAAACATACGATTACAAAACTAACATCTTTTTTTTTTCTCGAACTTTTATCAACATCCCACTATACATATTTGTCTTGCTATAATACTTCCATATAGCCTCAAAAGACACTTTTCTTTTGTATCACGCAATTATAATTAATATTCTCCTGAATGGTGGACAGCATTTAGAAAATCAAACGCTGATCGATTCCTTGCCTTTGATTATTACGACGTAAATGTCATATCCAGTCATTTTAAATTTCTTCGAACGATACACCATAAACGTTTCAAAAATAAATATTGATACTCATTCCATCTCGTCTACATTACAGATTAAATCTTACGTATTGGAACGGCGCTATCATTTATCGCCGTGCGAATGGGTCACACGAGAGAGCACTAATGAGAGATACAATTCATGGGTAGTACACGCCTAGGAATAACATCTGCCTGGAATATAGAATAACAATTATTGTGTTATTTATACACAGTTATATTAAGTCTGCCAAAGAGTTCTGTTTACATATATGGAAACATATAGCTAATACTTGCTATTATTGTGCTCATTTATAGAACATATTTATACACAAATTATAACTGATGAATGTAGTGAAATATTACTCATTCAGTACTATTCAACTGTTTACTGATAATTTTTCAAATATAGTATTCAAATATTCTAGAAAATATAGTCATCGACCTTCAACTACTTTCTTAAATGAGACTTATTTTTCTAATTCAAATCTCCACTCCCAACCTTTCAGATCAATGTTAACTAGTAACTTTGAAGATTCATATCTTCTGTATTAGATGATACAAATTTTGTTTGGTAACTAGTTCATTACTTCTTACTAAAACTTGAATGCAGTGATATAAATGGACCTTATCAACTGTCCTGTTTGTTCTATTGATATTTATAATAAATTACTTGATTAAATACGAAACCGTCATTTTAATGATATTCATAGTACATTCTCTGCTAAGGCTTGCTTTCAGCTGACAATAATTTTCTGGAAAATTATAACTAAGCATGATGGATCATGTTTGAAACTGACTTAATTAGAATCCTGGTGTCAAACAAACTCTTCCTGAACATTAGCAAGTATAATGCTATCTGACTTGCATCTCAAGATAGTCCCATAGTTTCCTCGTATATCTTTAATAACATCTATCTTTAACAATAAATAAAATCTATGATTTAGATGCAATCATAGATCCTTTGTTACATTGTAATGATCATATAAATCAACTGACTGGTACTTGTCAATAAAATTTCTGACTTGTAAGATACTTTTCTATTTTCAAACATGTTAACGCTTTTTGAAGTATCATATTTCTTTATTTCTATTTCACTTGGAACTTGCATCCACTATCTAGTTTCTACATTGTAAACACTATAAGAAATAACTAAAGATTATTCAACACAAATTTTTTAGTATACTACTTATACATCTGGTCAATCGATAAATAACATTAATCGTGCACTCTCTAAACATAACATAATTAGAAAACAGAATTGCTCATGGTATATTCTAATAAGAAGTTCTTGATAAAATTAATACGAGTACATGAAAAAGAATGATCTGACATCCTTTTATATTCTATCATCCACTTTATATGTCATGATTTCATAATATTAATGGTGTCCCTAGACTGTCAAGTCTTGCTAATTGACTTAACTATGTAATATAAATTAATTTATAACAATTAATATATTAAAAAAGTAATCTTCCCATATATAGTAAGTAAATAAATTTTACACATGTAGTGCAAATTGCACTTATATAACCAGGTTTGAACACTACAGTTTACAGCAAATATCTTGTTAGTAAAGCAAAACAAAAAGTATGGCAACAGCAATAGTAAAAACTTTGTGTTCATGCATAAATCAGTAACTATTTAATATTACAAATATGAAAATGCTAAAAATTTCATACTTGCGAAGTAGCATTACAAGACATAAGTAACTCAAATTTACTACTTAACGCAGAATTGGTACATATAAATTATAAATGAAATCTCATTCAGTGTAATATACATTTTTTAAATTTACTCATTTATGAACAGTGAGTGCAGTGTGTAGATTTACATTCCTCTGCATATAGCCTGCTGATAAGAGACTGACTTACTTCATCAAATAATATGCAACAATGAGAATACAAGAAAATTTATAGTTGAATGCAAATACAGGAAAGCCAAATTCTTATAAAAAAATTATCTACATTTTGAAAACTTAAAATTTGTACTATTAAAAGCACTATAATGTTAGTCATATATTAAAAAATTTTATAAATAAAACATGTATTTGCTTTTATTTACTGATTAAATACTTTAAACCTACTGTAATTTTTTATGAAAAAATTCAAAAGTATAAATAATGAGACTATTATATATTTATAAATTATGAATAAATAATGAAATAATTGTTCTGATAATTTAAAATTCATGCTAACTTATGTAGCATGCACAGTAATTTTCCAACTTCTAATGTCATATTAGGTTTTTAATTTCATTTGAATTACATTCTCTTTCATGTATTTGATATAGGACTGTTTAGGCCTAGTTATGTAATCATGGCACAAACCATTTACAAACACAAATGTAGTGATCACTATTTATAATCTGCTCATAACACATTCAAGAGTAAAAAACTGCAATAGCTTAAAAATGGACAGAACTTTCTGGCAGATCCGGCGCATCTCATAATGTACATACCATTTTTTCCTTCCTTTTCCTTTTATTTTACCGAAAGTTATCATTTCACCTGGGACTAACAGAATCACAATCTAACCTCAAACCCAATGCTTTTCAGAAACTTGAGAAATCTTTCTACAAGCATTTTTTCATGTTCATCTCGTTTCATCGCAAGATTGGCGATCTTTTCGGACGAGGCACGGAAAGCTTGCACGAGAAAATCATGGTATAAAGTCACATCGTCGTTCGCCGTGACCACCATTTTCTCAACATCTTTCGTTCCCATCGATTCACTCTTGACATCGTGTTTGTCTCTACAGGTGGAATGTTTCCCATAGGTTGCAATAAATCGAGCAAGAATATACGCAAGGAACCTGCGATGACACCAAAGAGATTCGTGGCCGTAGTACATGCAAATACCGCTGTCGTTCGCGCGACATTCTTCCAACCAGTAAGACAAAGCACGGAAATACGCTTGTTGTTCTGTTCTCAAGGACGTTGATCTCAATTCCGCGTTGGTCGTGTAAAACAGCCTCTGTAGTTTATGAGCGTCCTCCGTATCACTGATGTTAGTTTTAATGTAAGCAAACAGTTCCTCTATATGTTGTTCACCGACATCGGGACACTTTCTAAACGGTTCCCTCGACGGTTCTTTCAACTCGAACATGTACTTCCTCAGCAAAAACTGTCGATAGGAAAGCCCGCTGTAGTCCGACACGTGTCGCTGACACCAAGCAAGGGAATTCTTCCATTCGGTTTCGAGCGTCGGATAAGTGAATCCCCGCGATTCACGAAGAGTTATTATATGACGTCTATGGCTCCACGCGTGATAATTACTCGCGTATCTATCTGCGCACGTGGCAGCAATATCCAATTCCGTACATAACGGTGACTCTGTTGGCTCAGGATCGTAACGGGTATCCTTAGCGTTCAATATGTACGACAGTAACCATCGCCTGTAGGCGAATGCCTCGAAACATTTCGGCTTATGATAAAGCACTAATCGCGAAAAAGCGAATTCTTCGGATGCCTCTAATTTGTGACACCTTACTAACTCCCGTCGCATGTTCCAGAACGTTGTCACGTCTGGATTTAATAATAAAGCGCCCAGCAACCATCTTGCTACTGTACTAGGCTCCTCTCGTCTATGCTTATTCTGGCGAAGTTCGAAAAGTCGGCGATATGCGTAGCAGTAAAGCGGTTGCACGCACCACGATGCTAAACCAAGGTAGTCTTCCTGATGAAACACCGGAGATTTATTTTCGTTATCTTCTGCGGGGACTATTTCGAAACTTTTTCTGAAATTACACGGGAATAATGGTAACTTACGTTTCCGCTTAACGAAGGAAGAATCTTCATTGACTTCTATTTTAATGTATCTTTGCAGATCACTAATATACAGGTCTGTGATGACACATGAAAAATGTTAGGTGCAATTACTCAGAAATCTTAAAGATACAAGTAATTAAAGTTACCTAGGAGCTAGGATGTGACTTTGAATCGGGCTGCAGCAGCGGAACAAATGTGGGATTGACTATATAAGCGAAACAACTTTCGTTTAACGGTGTCACTTACGTATTTTAAATTTTCGAATTTGAAAATTTGAAATTTGGAAATTCGATAGTTTGAAAGTTTCAAAGCACAAATTTGAAAATTTGGAACCTTGAAGATTTGAAAAGAAGAGAATTTGGGAATTTTTAAATTTAGGATTTAGAGGATTCAGGAATTTAAATATTCGTGAATTAGGAAATTTAAAAATTGACACTGTTCACATTTCACCGTCGCCCGTGTTGAATCGCGCTTATAAAAAGTTGAATCAAAAAACAATTGTGAATAACCAAGAAATTGATCCTAGGATTTCCACATTGCCATCCACGCAATCACCTTACTTAACCAACCACATTGGTGTGTAAACTTCTATGCTTACACCATATATTAAACGTATGTAATTTGAATTATTTATACCTTCAAAGTTACTAAATAACGACTCCTAATATTTTACATCGATCATTAGAGACCTATGCAATACTAATCTGCAATACCACATTAAAATCAAAGTCGACCAATTGAGATCGTTCGCAAAAGTTAAATCATCTAATGATTTTTTATATTCTTCAACTATAATATTATTACCATCTACACAGTAATTAATATCTATTTGCATTATCAATAATTAAACTTTTGCTTTAACTATATTTGTATAAGTAATAAAAATGATAAAAAAATATTTACATCGCGATAATATCGAGATATTGTGTAAGGTTTTTGTACTATTATACTTTTAACATTATGAGACTTTCACTAATTATTTGGATGGTATATTAATAATTTATGTGCGTCATTATACGCATGCATGTAAGCAGATAATATATATATATATATATACATATATAATCATAAATAATAAGATATAATAATCGCGATGGCGCCAGTTTCCTATCGTTAGATATCAGATACCAACATTACTGACACTGTATTTACCGTGCAAACCTTTTACGAAGCGTCGTATGTATACTCGTGTTTGATTGACACGTATAAAGACAATATTTATAATTTAATTGAGTCAAAATTAAAACATAATGATTATATCGTTACAACATCTACAAAACATGTTAATATATCGAACTTAAGAATTTAAAGGCACATTTCACAGATATTTTTAAAGACTCCGCCCTCGTAATGTATCTAAGAAAACACTCACAGTGACGGATTCTTCTTCACCACATTTTCGATGTCGGAAAGGATTTTCTCTGCAGCCGGAAAAATGTCGTCTTGCATTGTAATCCCGTCACTATTGTTCGTTACATGTCTCGGAGAATCAAGTATAAACTAATACACAATTAACCCTTCTGTTTCTCTTACTGCACCTTTCAATGCAGACACGATGTAGCGTTTTTCTGCGGAAGTGTGGGGGGATACGACTGCGATACCGCTTGAAGTTTCCTGCAACTCTCGAACGTTCGAAATTAAATGGCGCGAAATTATTAATTCTAACTTACGTCGATAACAAATAAAACTTACGTACGATTTATTTTACAAATAAAAATAGTAGTAAATGCAATTGTAAGTAATTCCATCATTATTTCTTCAAAATTACGATTATTTGTACCTTTTGCTGTATGTTCATAAATATATATCGATGATCAATATTATTTTTGTGTGAAGGTCAATGCAAAAAGCTCTGTCAGTTTTTAGTACAGTAATAATTATTTAAATTTTAAATTAAAACTATAAATAGTTAAAAGTTGTAAATATTAGTTTCTACTAATAAATAAATATATAAATATTTTCAAGAAAACATGATTTATCGTAAAATATTTTATGTAAAATACATTTTATACTATTTTTAATATAATATTTTAAAAATATAATTTATAACGCAAAAATGCAATAATCGATTCAAGTTATCGACATTTTCGATAAGTATCATGTCATTAGAACATCACTTAATGGAGTATAAGTCTCCGGCTATAAATCGGTATAACCTATACGACACACGGTTCCTCTTGATTTCTTTTAGCTATTCATCTTGCCTTATAAGGGAATACTTTTTTAATCACTGACCACTTCATTCCCAACATTTGAGGTAAAATATTTAAGTTAAAACAATGTCCGATCCTCGTATAAGAACTCTAAAAATTAAAACTGGAGTAGTGAAACGTCTCGCGAAAGAAAAAGTCACTTATGAGAAAGAAGCAGCACAGCAACGTGAAAGGATACAAAAGTTAAAGGAACAGGGTGAGGATATTTTGAAAAATGTGATCGGAAGCATGTTAGTCTTTTCAGCTAATTAAATCCTTTCAATAGCTGTGTTATTTGTTTAAACGCTTCCGTATATTTTTCAGTTTATTTTTTTAAACGTTGAAAGGTTTAATTTTTCAGAAAACCATGTAAAGTCTATCTAATACAAATGTGTACAGTAAAATTTTTACCTAAACAGCACTATCATAAGAACTTTAGTTAATTCAAGTAGTGCTATGAATTTAATAGTATATTGTTTTTATAAACATTACTATATGGATCTAATTTGACAAATTATTTATTTTAAATTTTGTGTGTTCTGTTTTTATATTTTAATTTCATATAATTCGAACATTTTTAACGGAATTTGTATTAGGTAATAGTAAAAGCCAAAGTATCATTATAAATTTTCTTTGCATCTTAAAACATGTGAAACAGATGTTCTTATTGTATTACAAAATAATTATCAGAAAAAGAATACAAAAATTTTGCAAACAGTCACTGTCGCAAATTAAATCCTGAAGGGAATAAATCAAATATTCATGAATACTAATAAAGTTCAAAATCTTTGTTTGAAAAAGCAATCGTAAATGTGCATTCTTGTAGGGTGTTTCGTGATCTATCAAAGAAGTCTGTTGGATATAGCTGATCAATTTCTGTTAATAGTAATTTGCATCTGAATAAAAATTTTATGTGTAAAAATTACGTTGCCCTAATAACCAGACTATTTTCTTATGTTCATTCAGCATGTATGGTATTCACATCTGAAAAGTAGTTTTTACTTTGATTAAGCAGTAACTAAAAATTTGTGCACAATTCATTGTAAAGACCATTTGATTACCTTATTTATCCAGCATTCTTATGGTATTGCTAACTATGTAAAAATTTTACCATATATATTCATGCTAAACAGATTCTATATTACTTATAACAATGTTTATCAACATACTCATGTACACAAAAGTATAAAAATTTTTTTTTAAGACAACTATTTTCAGTATCTTATTTTTGTTACAGATAAAGATGGATATGATATAAAAAAACAAGAAGAAGTACTTCAAGAATCACTCATGATGGTGCCAGATTGTCAAAGACGTCTTGTAAAAGCATTTGAGGAACTTAAAAAAATTTTGGATACTGAACAGGATTTAAAAGAGGTTGAAGATTATATTGAAGCAGAAAAAGTATTAAGAGAAGCAGAAGCTCAACTTCCTAAAGAAGGAGAAATAATGGAAATGTGTTAAGAGACAAAAGCCTAATAATTTTGTTAAGACATCATAAAAAGTTATGAGAAATTATATTTTCAGCTAACATACAATTTGTAAACGAATTAAAATACTTATTTAATGCATTAAGAGAGCGAGTAGTATTAAGGTACTTTATATTTTTCCAAATTAAACGTTAATTTTGAATAATTATGTTTAATGATCAAAGTTTCTTGAAGGGTCCTACACAAAGCTGTATGGACCCATCCTATAATGTATATACCCCAATGAATCAAGGTATTTATAATACAAGTTGTAACGTAAATGTATACCAAAATTATATTTATCCAATTGGTACGACCTTTGATAATACTAATGAGGATCCTACATTAGTAATTAATGCAGCCAAACGCCAAACTGATGAGCAAGATATTGAGCAATTTCTTTTAGAAGGTGAAGAAACTAAAAATATAAGTGACCAGAGAAACAAATGTAAAAAATCTAAAATTGCAGTTACTAAAAATATTATAACGTCAGTATACAAATTAAATGAAAAGTTAAAAACAATTTGTTCAGAACTTAAAGATAATCAAAATTTGTCGGAAGAAGAGTGGCAAGAGAAAGTAAACATTTGTAATACAGCAAAAGAAGAAATTGTTAAACTATTAAAACCTATTCAAGATCCACATTTTTTGAGTCAATTAAATAAAGACTTAGAAAAGCGTAAGAAGAAGCGATTAAGAGAAAAAATTAAAAGGGAGAAATGGAAAAATGAAAAATTAATGAGGATGGAAAACAGAGCAAGAATGCATGCTCACATTGATTCGTGGATTAGAAAGAAACAAGCTGTAATAGAAAAAGAAAAACAAGAAGAAAGTCTGCGAAAAGATGCTGATATGATTCTATTTGATGTAAGAGGAAAACGAAATGATGCAAGGAAATATCTTGGATTGTTGCAAGAATTACAAAATTTGAGAAACGTTAAAGTCAATATTGCCAGAGCACGAGGAGAACATTTATCTGCAGCAGCTGACGAAGCATTTAATAATATTATTGGTATTATTATAATGCTAGTTGCTTTTATTAAATATTTTAAGAATTAAATTGACAAATGCTTTTTTATTTACAGCTAAGTTATCAACACAGTGGTCAACGCTCGATCACGAATATTCCATAGAAGAACAGGGTTTGAAGTTAATGTTAAAGACTGACAACGAAAATAGAATTGAAAAGCAGAAAAAAAACGTTTTCGATGAATGGGAAAAAGTATTATTTGGAAAAAAAATGACATCTGATCAATATAGTACAGATTTAACCGGTTTTATCGCTGTAAGGTAAGAATATTATTGTTATTAAATAGTTTCTAGTAGATACTAACTAGATACAAACATTATAGTTTTACAATAATATAATTATTTTGTATGTAGATCTGCTTGGGATAAGTATATAAGCACCGATAGTGATGCTTCACCAATTCCAATTGGATGGGTGATGCCCAATAAACCATCCTCTGCTGCCTGGCAAAAAAGTCTTAAAAAGGAAGTTTTATGAAATAAATTATACAATTATAAACTCTGATTTATGGGAATAAGTAAATTTGATACACGCCTTAATAATTTATATTGTATAAACGTAAATATAGTGAAGTTTTGCTATATGATCCTAAACACGATATTAGAAATGGAAAAGATTGTGAAAAAGCTATATGAATGGTGAAACTACTTCCAACATTTATATTGCAAGTTTGAAAATTTTAAATTCCTAAATTTTTCAGTTCAATACAATGGCAAGAGAGTGTTACTAGTATGCGTGATAGTTTATGTGGAAAATTTACTTAACAAGTCGTATAGAGTAGCATATAGTAAGACTGCACTATAATATGCATTTAGCCATTTACATGTGATGTAGTGTTGTAAGAACAAAAGTAAAAAATTCTCTGGTCGATTATACTTCAAACATGATCGTTTTTAAGTATATTAAGATTTTAGTACATAGGAGCTAACGATTCGTGTCATTCGATATTTATTAAAACTAGTGGATTTTTACCACTTTTCATACAGTGCATAACTTAATTAAACTTTTTGTTTAATAATTTAATTACTAATTTGTGAAACGCCGGTGCTACGCACGGGTAATTAATCAGTTAACCTTGACCCCCTGCGCAGTCCTAAACTATAAAAGATAGACATGCGCAGTAAATTTTTTACAAAGAGGCTTAACCCAAAAACGTTAAATTGACCACTCTTAATGATAACGTAAGTAGTTTTTAAATTGGAGCAATTTTGATTTTTCGAAGTCAAGTGGTGCCATCTGTCCGGCGAACAGGGTGAACTACACTCGGCGGGAACACGGCTTTCGTTAGTTCGCCTATTCTATCGCTAGAAGACGCTACATGTACCGTTTTACCGTTCACATAGGAATTGTCTTCCTATACTTTAATAATCAATAAATTAATAACTTTGCAAAATAACTGATTTTAGTGGACTTGATGTTGAATTTGATTTTAACACGTGTTCTTGAATTAAGGTTTGATTATAGAATGAATAGCGAACGATTTTGTTTTTAAAATAAAATTGAACATGGTCAAACGACGATAGCTTTAAACATTAATCATTTGTTCACAAGTACAAATAGAATTCTTCTTGATCGACGACATTGATAACAAAACTCATCTTGACCGATGACTCCGATGATCACCATAGAGCATAGAAATTATTGAAAATGATACGCATATAAATACATCAAGAAAAAAGGAAACAATCTTTTAAAAAAACCTTGTGGCGGTGCTGTTAACAGCGCCATCTAACAACAAACTGCTGAACTATGATGAACACGTGTAAAGTACCCACCGGATTCTGCCGGCAATTAATTGATTACACTTCAACGTTAATTACACCATCAGCGAAGTTTCTCTTATAGTTCTGCGTATCTCTAGGTGGCGCTGCGTCGAATCTGCTTAAGGGGGCGTTCAGATTAAGCAAATACCTGTCAAAATAGCCTAATGTGAACATTTAATACAGCGCAAGAAAGCAACCATCCGATTTATGCATTCATCACATTTTCTTCCATAACTTACAGTTTTCTGCAACTTTTTAGAAGCAAATTAATTGCTGCATTATCTTTATTCTCTGAACAGATTTTTATTAGCTTTCTACAAGATACTGTACTACAGCGCACACTAATATGTACACATTATTCTAATAATTCCGACCTAGAATTAAGTGTTAATAATGTATTTATCTTTTAATAAAATATATTAAGTCATTTGATGTACAAAAGTGTTTGAAAATAAATATGAATAAAAACATGTATTTGCAAATTTACTTACTTATAAATCCCATCATTCCGATGCCCAGAAATTGCCCCAAATTTTTAAAAATAAAAAACCGGTTTTGGCGACGCGCGCAAGTAGCGCGCATAAAAATATAAATTTTAATATACATGTAAAAATAATGATCGTAAAATGCTTTCAGTTTCTTCAATAAATACCTTTACAATAAACTATCGGACTTCATATTTTTGTATACTAAATCGCCGCGGTAATTCTGTTATAAATATAAATTTCAATGTAAAATCAATTATAAAACAAAATTGCGTTCTAATGTAGTTCGTAACGTGCGCAATGAAACAGCTTGCTTACGAAAGTATGCATATATTTGCGAAAGTTTTATTTACAGATTTCAAAAATGCCTGTTGTAAATTGGGCATAATGTGTGCCAATACGTGAATGTTATTGCAGATGGTAGTATCCTATTCTTCTTGGCTGTCATTTTCCTTCAGATGAGCCAGATTTGTTCTTTACTTTACAGACTCTTCCTATGATACAAACATATATAATACAATGCATTATATTCATGCTATACTTAAAATCAAATTCTTTTGCGCAGCGCTTGAGGGTTCTAGAATTTGATTATCTTTCACTGGCGCAGGAGGTACAATTTCTGCAGCTGATAATATGATATGCAATTTTCCTTGCAGCTCTGCTAACGCTAATATTAAACTCTCTTCTTCTTCTAATTTGGCTGCTAACGTACTGAACATTTTTCGTGGTTCTGCTGCAAGTTCGTCCAGATGATCTTCGTAAATATCTATTAATGATTTGGATATTAATATATTTATGGGTAATAAAAAGTAGAAAAATTAACAACGTACCCATTAGTACATTAGCTACATGTAATAGTACTCTTCCAAATCGAATGCTTCCCACATGTTTATTTAAAAATTTGAGAATATTTACAAGACTTTTGCCATCTCTACCAGCAAGTGCTTGTTTTAAGCCCTGCCTTCTGATAAGCTCTTGCATGAGAGCAACTGTAACATGTGGTGCTTTATTTACCACATAACTCATCATTACACAATCCAATGCTTTAGAATATTGGAATTTCCTTAAGCAAGCATCATGTTTGGACATAATTTCTTTCATTTCCTCTTGGACTACAATATCTACTTGTGGCGTGTGTAAATTTTTCCCTGAACGCCTATATGATACCTTCTTCTTTTGTGGTTTTTCATTTCCTACATCTTCTTCTCTTCTTCTGACAGAAATTAAACCATCAACCATACCAGCTACTATAGTTTCATCATTTGGCTGTAATTACAAATTATATTTAGTACTTTTAAGATATCATTAGTAACATAAAATAAGAATTTATTCTTACACTAATTCCTATACTAAGGACTGAGTTGGGATAATCCAAGGAATGAACAGTTCTATATGTTCCAGAGTCGTAAATTTTGACATGTCTATCCAATGAACCAGACAAAATTCTATGACCATTTGAAGCTATTTTTAGGCATGTTACAGTTTTATGATGTTGGGATATTTTTGCCAGTAGCCTACCACCAGCCAAACCATCCCAGACTCTGATTTCTGTTCCACCTTCATACAACAGTAGAAAATATATAATTTTTTATATAATATTATTTTACACAATAACTATATCAAAAATAATATACCTGCAGACAAAAATATTCCACCAGATGGTAAAAACAATAAACTTTCAACAGGAGCTTCATGGCTAACACTAAGAATTTTTTTATTTGTCCTTGTATCATACATGTATATGTTTTTATCATAACCACCAGATAATAATATATCTGTGGAAATAGGGCTAACTGCCCCAGCTCTTATGTAATCTGAATGATCATTAAAAGATGCAGTCTGTTTTTCGGTAGGTATATCCCATATTATTGCACTCTTATCATCAGAAAATGAAGCAATATGATGATTATCCGCAGTAAAAAAAGTTCTATGTACAGCAGCTTTGTGTCCAGAAAAAAGTCGAAGAAGACTTTTTGTATTGACGTCAAATAATTTAATTACTGCTTCTTCTCCACCAGCACACAATAGCCTTCCATCATTACGAAAAGAACCACCATAAGCAGCTTCCTTGAATCTGCTAAGATTTTTTGTGACTAGTTTTGTAATTGGATTATATAGTTGTACTCTCACAGAACATGTTACAGCAAAATAATGTGGTTCTACAGGTGAAAAATCAATATAATCTATTGGTCCAAATTCCTTAACTAAAACGGGAGCCTGTTAAAATAATAATATTTTTATCACTCACAATTTATACACAATCTAATAGGTTAAGTACTGCGCACGTGGGTATCATTAATTAGCTAATATATCGCAATAATAACTAAATTTTTAGTATTGCTGTGGATACAACATACTCACAGTATACTTTTTCCAATATATATTATCCGGTGTTAATTCAGGCCCTGATCTTGCAAATACTTTAGTATTTATCTTTTTGAAGGATGCCATTTCTTTTAAAATGTCAACTATTATCCACTCACTGGGAGATCATAATCATTCTGCGCAATTCTGCTAACTTCAGTAGACTCCCACCAATTAGTACTATTTCATTCCGTGATCATATACTCGGTGAACAAAAATAAGTCAATAAAGAGAAATAACATTTGAATAATGATGGATAAGTTAAACACCCGCGAATTTTCCCATTTTTGATAACTAAATGGATGCCGCGCGAAACATTTCAAATTTAGAAAATTTTAAGTTTTAAAATTCACAGATTTAACAATTTTTAATTTTCAAATTTAGAAATTGAGAAATACACCAATTTTTTAAATTAAAATATTTTAAAATCAAAAAATTTTGAAATTTTCAAATATTATAGTCCTTAAAAATGTTCAGATTTTTAAATTTAGAAATATAGGAGTTTGGAAATTTTTACATGTATAAATTCAGTAGTTTTCTAATTGTAAGTTCAAAATTTGAAAATATTAAAATTCTGAATTACAGAAATTTAGAAACTTATAATTTGTAAACTTCTAGTGCCGCATGTAGAGATCTTTTTTTTTATATGGCCAACTTAAAAAATTATTCATTCTTACAACATCGTCTGTGGCAACAAACTGAGAGCACTATGCTCATCGTTGATGCGATTTGTCAATAGTCCATTACAAGATTCTTGTTCACTGATTATATATGTTCGGCGTTAGGAGTGTTACAAACACGCATGTGCGTTGCTCTTGGTTACGAACAGTTTCGAACCAATCAGAGCTGACATGCGCAGAATGATCTAAAATTCGTCATCTGTTGAGTATAATCTACCATGGACAAATAATATAATAAAATTTAGTA